TTTTTTTTTTTTTTTTTTTTAATCAAGTTGGGATCAAAGCTGTGTACGTAGAATGATGACGAGAGGAATCTTGGAGAACAGTTTGAAATTTTTTAAAAATCCTCAATGCGGTACTAGTCCAAATTAGTAAATTTAATATATATAGTTTCATCAAATGTTTTACAGACTTGATCATGTCTCAGTCATTTTTGACTGGTGAATTCCCACTAAATTTGTTTTTCGACTTGTCAAATTTTAAAACGGAGAAGAATGTGCGCATAGATATTAATAATTACGTATCTGAGTAAATCGTTTAGATATCTGCCTCTTAATGGAGAGCGTGACTTAAGTAGAAAAGGCACCGATGGTCAGACTGTTCGACTGTGTGCTGATCGACTTACTCTCCTTGTTCAGCTACCAGACAACTGTGAATACTGTCTAATCTGACAGATGTCCTAAATATCGTAATTCTTGCTATATTTTTTTAAGTATCGCGAGCTTGAACATCATCATATTTAAATATTGTTCGGATACTACAAAATCCCACAGTTTGTACACAGCGTGATGTTTAAACAGGTTGATGGTTGCGCGTTAACTCGCTCTTGACAACGCGTTTACTAATCTCTTTTTAGGCAAAACTGCTATTTATGACGTGGAGGGTGAGGACCAGAGGCATTCCTGTCGCTAATTTCACTCGTCGTTGAAGCTCGTTCGCTGCGTCGAATCACATCGTAGAATCTGCGCCATATAAACTTGCCGCAGAACGATGCGAGAGATATGATTTCGGGAATATTTTACGTCGTCCAAGATGGCACTCGCTGCAGAGGAATCTCCGCGAGTTAATTAAACGTCGGTTGTCAGGCTTAACGTGCTAAAATTTACGCGCCTTACGTTGGACTTTGGATGAAACTGATCGGTAGCGACTGAATAATTTAGAGTAGTCATCGATTAGCGTTTTATTATAAACAGATGATGCGTAATCTTAACTTTCCCTGCTTTCAATCTCTATCTCGTTTAACTGGTGTAACGTTTAAATTGCAATTCAACTCTCTTTAAACCCTCCGATTTCTCGATGAACCGAGAAGGGTGAAACTTTTTTAATAACAGCCGTACACTCGTCGCGGGCAAATAAAATATCGATCGAGTAGATTCTACGGGCAGGTCGAATAAAAATGCAAGATTAACGGCTCGAGGAAATTCTAA